GAAGCACTCAGTGCAGTGTCTGGTAAATCACAACTCTTAGCAACGATATTATGCAAATTTCAGTCTCAAAAAAAGTTCTTGTATTTTAAATGTTGATTGTTGTCAATAGGGACTCATTTAAAGAATTATTTTCACAGCAATCTGTGTTTTCTACAGTTAATTCCTTAGTATTTCACAACACCTTGCTATTTGATTTATTATCCCTTAAAATATTATATTCCTAAATATTATAATAATGAGAACACTCCAAAGAAATAAATTTTAAAAATATATAGAGATAATTTATTTAGGAATTGTTTATTCAAATTAGGGTTGTACTAGAGTCCCCTTCCTCACCCCCCCGCCCCCAATTTAGTTAAAACATTCTAAACCTGGCATACAATCTTGTTTATTAACTTCTATATTTAAAAATTGTGGTACCTGTAACCTGAATTATACCATAAGAATGTCACATTATAATACCAGATTTCTGAATCATGGGACTTACGTGGTAGCCATCATCTATCAATTTGGATTCTAAAACACACACCATTCCAAATTATATTTAGAGTATTAAGTTGAAAACAAAATATTTACTTTTGGCTTTCTTCATAACTGAAAGAGTAAAGTACTTTACACAACTTTACGTGGTAAATGGTTGGAAAAAAGGGCTCAGCATATCATCTTTATATCTAGAAATAATATTTCTAATTTTGAAAATGTGTATCTCTTCACACTTTAAGTGTTATATTGAAATATTTTATAAAAAAATGAGGCAACAACATCAGGAACAACAGCAAAATTACAAATGCTATCTGTAATACCTAATAATATATAATATAGAAATGATATATAATACTCTAAAATGAAAAAAAAAAAAAAAAACCTCACTGCTGTGGAGTTGGACCTGACTCATAGCGACCCCTCCTTGGGTTTCCTAGGTGGTATCACTATGGAAGTAGATTGCCCAACGTTTCTTCCGAGGAGTGGTTGGTGTGTTTGCACTGCCAGCCTTCTGGTTAGCAGTCAAATGCCTTAGGCTCTACACCACCATAGCTTCCAATCTAAAAATAGTTCTACTAAATGATTTTTTTTTTCAGTACATCATATCTCAGATATTACAGAGTCAAGTGTTTTTTTTTTTTTTAATAAAAATGAAATTCCCTAACTGACAAGAATTCCTTACTTATAGTTTAATTTCTGATTATTAAGCACTCAGAAAGAAATATTCTACAGTGCATTATACAGTACTTGGCAAAGTATTGACATCTGATTGAGTCCCTATAAATTCAACAGAAAAGACAGTTACAAATATAGAAGGTGGAAAGTGATTAATAATATTGGGAAAAAAAATGAAATATTTGCTGTCAAGTCAACTTGACGCAAAGCAACCCCTCCTTGGGTTTCTGACGAGGTATCTCTACAGAAGTAGATTGTCCAATCTTCATTCCAAGGAGTATCTGGTGGGTTTGAACCACCAGCCTTCTGGTTAGCAGTCAAATGCCTTAGGATCTATGGCATCAGAGCTCCTTAATACAGGACAGTGAGTCTTAATTCTTTTCTTGTGGTCAATTTTCTACATTCTGCCATCAAAAACATTAAATATAGTTAAACTACAGACAAGCCTTGGAGGTTTAACTCTAAATAAATCTAGACTTCTTTTCTCCTGGAAGAAAATATAGGTCACTATACAAAGTGTTAAAGCTAATAGATATGGCATTAAAGAAGGGAAAATTGGGGGTAATGCAAGAGAGAGAGAGACATGAGGTCTAATATTTCTGGTCTAATATGTGTGACTGACAAAGTCATAAACTTAATAACTAAGCAATTCTCATTTTACTGTGTCATTTTTACCATGGTCAGTACATTTGGAATTTTTTTCTTAATTTTAAAATATGTTTTTACAAGAGTGTATAATAAATATTATTCTAAGACTCCACCTAGCATGAAAATAAAGAAAGAAAATTTTTTCTGCAATCATCTTGATTTCAATTAGAGTTACAAATGATTAAGAATGAATCTACAAGAGGTTTGCAACCCAAATAATCTCCCTATACCTATTTTTGAATGTTGTTATTGTTGTTATTTGCCGTCAAGTTGGCCCCGACTCATAGCAACCCCTCCTTGGGTTTCCGAGGCAGTATCACTACGGAAGTAGGATTGCCCAACCTTCCTTCCGAGGAGTGGCTGGTGGGTTTGAACCACCAGCCTTCTGGTTAGCAGTCAAGTGCCTTAGGCACTATGCTACCAGAGCTATAATGTAATATAAATAATCTCTTACTGTCCAGCCACTCCTTGGAAGGAAGATTGGGCAATCTAAGTAGGGTCAGAAGCCCAAGGAGGGGTTGCTATGAGTCTAATTGTCTCAATGGCAGTGTGTTGAGTTTTATTGTACGAGAAGAAGCAAACCTCATTTTTTGGTTAAGTTTTTAATGTGATTTTGGAGGAAATTTACAGAGCAACTGATTTTTCCATTCAACAATTCGTATACATTTTGTTTCATGATATTAATTGCAGTTTCCACAGTATAACAGCACTCATCCCACTTCTTCTCTGTGTTGCTCATTTCCATATGTCCTTCTTTCTTATCGCTTCTTGCCTTCTGAACTTTGTCTCTGGGCAAATACTGCTTTTTTTTGTTCTTGTATGGTTGACTGTTCTAAGCAGTGCATACCTCCCTGGCATTATTATTCATTATTTCTGCAATCATCTTGATTTCAGTTAGAGTTCTAAGCAGTGCATACCTCCCTGGCATTATTATTCATTGCATGGACCTATCGTTGGGCTGAAAGGTGAGGCTGAGGGATGGCTTCAATTTCAGGCTTGAAGGATGACTAAAGGCCACAGTCTCAGAGGTTCCACCAGTCCCTATCAACTCAGTATTTTTTATGATTTGGAGTTTTGTTCTATACTTTCCTCACATTCTTTCCAGGACCCTCTATTGTGATCCCTTTCAGAGTAGTCAGTAGTGGTGTCTGGGCACCATCTAGTTCTGGTCCCAGGGTCATGAATGCTGAGGTTCACATTTCCATTAGTCCTTTGGAAAAATTATTTCCATGTGTCTTTAATTTTCTTCACTCTTCTTTACTCCAGATGCAGAGAAACCAATAGTTACATATTAGATGGCTGCTCACAAGCTTATATTTGCAGACACATGATATATTCATCCAAAAAAATTAAGACACAGTGATATGTTTTCAAAAGCATTTTATAGCTTAAAAATTAGGTTTTGAAGGAAACTTACATGTTGCTTAGTAGTGAACATGAAAATAGGCAGTTTCCATTTCTGTGCTTTTGATTCTATTTGTTTGCTCAGTTATCTGAATATTAAGACATGCATAACATTCTCATAGGGTCATTTGGGAAGAAATATTGGGTAACATATGGCTAAGGTATTTCTCAGTAGTTTGCAACTGGCTGCTAACTTAAAATTTGGCAGTTTGAACTCACCTAGCTGCTCTAGGGAAAAAGACCTGGTCATCTGCTTCTAAAGATCCTGCCCAAGAAAACCCTAGGAGGCAGGTCTACTCTGTAGCACTTGGGGTCACCCTGAGACCTTTCTGACTTTTCCTGACCTTCAGAAGCCAATTGTTTCTTCCAAGGTGTATCTGGGTGGGCTCACATCACCAAAGACAACCTTTCACTTCGTAGTTGAGTGTTTAACTGTTTGCCTCAGTTGGAATTGACTCAAGTCCTTTTTTTTTTTAAGTATATATTATCCAAACTGTGGTATTTTCAATTACTTCATATGGACATGATAGTTGAATATTGAAACAGTAAGACAAATCAATTGATGCATTAGAACTGGTTTATGTGAAGAATATTAAATATATGTGGGCAGCCAAAAGAATGAACAAATCAGTCTTAGAAGAAATACGAGAAGAACGTTCCTTAGAAGCAATGATGGCAAATCTTAGACTCACTTACCTTAGACATGTCATCAGGAAACACTAATTACTAGAAAAGGACATCATGTTTGGTAGAGGGCCAATAAAAATGGGGGAAATTCTCAGTGAGATGGATTAACGCAATACACAACAATGGACTCTCACATACCAAGAATCATGAAGATGGCTCAGGACTGGGCAAGGTTTTGTTCTGTTATACATAAAGTTGTCATCAGTTGAAGCAGACTCTATGGCAAGTTAGAACAACTTTTGAACTAACTTTAAAAGTTTCTAAATGTTGACATGAAAAAAAGTGAGTTATTTAAAACTATTGGGTAAGTAATGAAAACTGTATCCTTTAAATCTGAATCATTATCTATCAGTAATCTCCTTCCCTGCCTCCCTAATTTAGAACCCATGATAAGTCTTATAGAGACAAGAAAGACACTTTCTACCTATCAATATCTGCACATGCATTCAGTTTGGTCATCGCTGAAGATGTTTGTAAACTGCCCAGCGCATTTCTGGCTCTAATTTTTACCTAGTGCTGCCTTAATTAACTGAAAACCTCCTAGGAGGCTATTAGATGTTGACAATAGCAGAATGTTTCTTGAGTCACAAATAGCTCCATTAATGTTAAAAGTACATTCTTAAGAATAAAAAAAAGAATATATTCTTCTTCAATGCCCAAATAATTTAGATATGGGCATATGCTGATGAAATATAAAAATGTAGTAATTTGATGAGCAATCAAGCAATAAAATATTATTAATAAGAATTTAATTGTGTTTATGGTGGCAAAGGATAGTTTCATCATAATTTTAGAGGTAACTACATAAATGACATTGCATATTAATTTGAATTTCTATTTTATGTAGTAATTGAAAATATATTTTGAATAGCAACTTTAATGCAAAAAAAAAATAAAAAATAAAAAATACGACCTTAAGTTTGTTTCCACAAAACTGAGCTGAAAGAGTTCTATCTGAATTCATTTTTAAATAAACTTATACAGATGTTTCTTGTTTGTGTTAGTATCTATCAGAATGTTTACAACATGTCTTACTTCTCTTTCTCCTCAGGAGAATAACAGAAAAAAAAACAAAAAAACAGAGGATAATGAAGATTGATTACCTTTTTCACAGAAACGACCAGTGAAATGTAGTGGACAGTCACACTGAAAAGAGGCTGCACCGCTTGAAAGGAAGACAGGATGGCAGGTGCCTCCATTGTGGCACACATCCTCCTGGCAAATGGATGGTGCTGGAGGCAAGGGGCTGCAGGAAGTCCACACAGAGTCAGCTTCTTCTGTCATACCAGAAGGAGCAGAGAAGGATGCTGTTGGCGATGGAGTAGAATCCTGGGATCTGTGATTTATAAACACAACGGAACATAAAATATAAGTGAAAATATCAGAAATTCAAATAGCAGTAATAGAAATGTTGGTTTAAAGTAAGAGGGAATAAGAAAAATACATAATCCAAGACTAAGACTTAACTTAGGGCAAGCAGAATTATTTTTCCAAGTTGTGGAATTTTTAAATATTGAAAATATCTAAACCACATATTGTAACCTTTGGGGAATCACATGGCTCTGATCAACTAAATTAATTTCTTTAAAGTAATAGGAAACTTGGATGAAGTAAGCTTCATAACTGAAATGTCAAATCTCTTATATAAAGATATTAAAATATTGGCATAATATACTTCTGCTTTAGTTATTCCAAACCTCGTAAGCCTAAGACCAAAAATTGAGGCTGTGTAATACATTAATAGTAAAACTGCTTGCACTTAAACTACTTCTAAGTTGAATGCTTGAAATATGCATTCAAAGTGACTTGCATTCATTTCTAGTAGTGTTCCAAGAGATATTTTATTAAATCCAACAAAAGATTTCTTAATTTTTCTCACACACTTTCAATCTGTGTATTTTATTTTTCTCTAGTAAATAATGAGTAATGAAACTCCTTGTAAATTGAGTTGAAATTTTTACTTTGGCTTTTTAAGGCACATGACAATCTAATTCCTCCTTGCTTTTCTAGACTATATTATTATTATTATCCTTAAAATAAGCATTAGTTTTTCTCAAGCCAAGTAAGTTTACTAGTCTCTAAAGACCAGGAGCTTTTCTAATTTTGGAAGTTTATTCAATCTACTTTCTATGCATGTTTGTTCGTCTCTTGGTTCTGAATTTTATATAGTGCTAAGTTCACACCAGTATTCCTTCCTCCACATAATCTTTGTGATTCCTCCTAACTCATGAAGATCTTTGTTGTCTCTAAAGTTCCATAACATGTCATGGCTATTATATTTATCATGCAATATAGTTATTCCACCATTCGTATTTCAGTTTGTGGTGGCTTGCATGTTGCTATGAGCTTGGAGACTATACCACTGGTAATTCAAATACCAGCAGGGCCACCCATGTTGGACAGGTTTTAGTGGAGCTTCCAGATAAAGACAGACCAGGAAGAAAGAGTGGGTCATCCATTTCTGAAAAAAAA